AACTTTTATGATCAGTGTAAATATAACATCATCACCATATAAATAGTGGTGTCATATCTTCAGTGCAAACACTACCGCTGCTAACTCAAGATCATGTGTCTGATAATTCCTTTCATGTGGATTAAGTTGTCTCAAAGCATAAGCTACCACCTTTCCATCTTGCATCAAAGCACATCCCATACCATTATAAGAAGCGTCATTATAAATTGTATAGTCCTTGTCCGATTATGGTTGTACTAACACCGGAGCCTCCGTTAGAACCCTTTTTAAGGATTCAAAAACTATCTTGGAATTTATCCGTCCAAATGAATGGCACATCTTTCCTCAATAGATTTGTCAATGGGGAGACAATCATCGAAAAGTCCCTTACAAACCTTCGATAATACCCAGCTAATCCCAAGAAACTCTGAACTTTAGAAACATTTCTTGGAACTTCCCAGTCTATAATAGCTTTAATCTTATGAGGATCCATGAACATTGTCGATGCATTAGTTAATCCAAACGACACTAAAAGTCATCTTTGGAATATCCTCTTCTTGTATCTTCAGCTGGTGATAGCCAGAGCGCAAATCAATTTTGGAGAACACCGAAGCTCCCTTGAGTTGATCAAATAAATCGTCAATTCTCGGGATAGAATATTTATTCTTTATTGCCACCTTGTTGAGTTGTCGATAATCAATACATATATGCATTGAACCATCTTTCTTCTTTACAAATAACACTGGCGCACCCCAATGTGATACACTGGGTCTAATGAATCCTTTATCCAATAACTCTTGCAACAAAGCCTTTAACTCCTTCAGTTTCTTCAGGACCATTCTATAAGGAGCCATCGAAATTGGTGTCATTCCAGGCATTACCTCAATTTGAAATTCAATCTCTCTATCAGGAGGTAATCCCGGTAATTCATCCGGAAACACGTCTGGAAATTCTCTAACCGTCGCAATGTCCTCTAATCTCATCTCAGGGGCTCGAGTATCGATCACATTGGCGATAAAAGCTTGACGTCCTTGCAACATTAGCTTCTTAGCCAACATTACTGATATCATATTAGATAATGGATTAATTCTCTCGCTGACTACAACTATCTCTAATCCATCAGAACTTCTTAAAATTACCCACTTCAATCGACAATAAACATTAGCATGGTAACGATACAACCAATCCATTCCCAATATAATCTCGAACTCGTCAAAGGGTAATTCTATCAGATTAGCAGGGAATTCAATTCCCTGGATCCTTATAGGACAACCTCGACATCTGGTTCACCCGAGCACTATGCCCTAGCGGGTTAGTCACAATCATATCACTACTTATAGCTTCTAATTGGATTCTCAAATCTCTCACCAGTTTACTACTAATATAGGAATAAGTTGATCTTGGATCAATCAATACCAAAACAGGTTTATCAATTAATTGGAAAGTACCTGCGATCATCACGATCTTCATTAGTCTTAATTTTGTATACCCGAACAGTCGCTCGTATTTCAGGTTGAGTAGTTGATTCAGACTGATTCCTTCCCCTGCCATGTTCTCTACCTCTTTAAGATACAGTAGTGGATCTCTCTGATTGTGCAGGCTCTCCAATCATTAACGGGCAATCCCGGATAAAATTTTCAATTTCCCCACATCTAAAATATGCTCCGAAGACCACTAGGTATAAGCCACTATGATATTTTTGCCACAATGCTGACATTGACTTGGTCTTCCAGCTCCTGATTCAGTTGATTGTGCTTGTTTAGCACTCACATGATTTGATCCTCTGCCTGAGGGTGTAGCTGACTTATATCTAGTTTGAGGTTGAAACCTCGAACCATGGGTTCTCTTCGATTATGCTGCACTCGATGAGGAACCCTCTCTCTTAGTCAACTGGGTATTTTTCTCCTCGAATCTTTCATTCTATGCCCGCTCCAAGGCTTAAGCTCGATTCACTAAATTTTGAAACGTAGAAAGATTTAACACTATTAGCAACTCCTTCAATCTAGAGCACAAACCCTCCACGAACCAATCACGTGAATCTTTCTCAGTTGGGACCAATTCAGCTTCAAATCTGCTCAATTTATTAAACTCACACTCATACTCATACACAGTGCGACTCCCTTACTTCAAATTCATGAACTTTTGTTTCATTTTTCTACTGATATATTTATTCTTGAACTCTTCCAGAAAGAACGGCCACGTCACTTGATCACTAGGCACTCTCATCGTCACATTAGTCCACCATACACGTCTTTGATCTTGTAGCAGTGAGACTACTCCATCCACCTTCTCTATTTCATAACATTGGAGACCATCAAGCATAATTTTCACGTCATTTAGCCAAAGATCCGTAGAAACATGACATTCATTAGCTTCTCCCTTAAACTCGGGTGCTCCTAAACTTTTTAGCTCCTTAGCAACATTCATCCTAGAAGCCGGGGGAGTAGACGGTAGGAAACGCTTCAGAATCGTGTCCAACGTCCGAAAAAAAATATTCTTTGATCTTGTACAGACACTCTCTGAGGCGCATGTTCTTCACCTTGCCTAGCTGGAGCAGGTGAATTACTACTACCCTCATTAACTCCATCTCCCGCTTCACTTCGGGAGCCCTCGTAGTTTGTCATCTATTAAGATATAATCACTTAATTATATTAGCAAAGATAACATACTTATTACACTATCATATCAGAGATTTTTAATATTTTGTTGACATGTACACCTTTTTAAAACATAAATTACTTCGTTTTGAGCCTAAAATCGGTTAAACAATAGCTCTGATACCAACAAATGTCACACTCCCAATCCATACCCGACTCGAATACGAATCTAAGGTGTAACATTGACTTTTCAATGCTTTGCCTTTTTGAAAATTAACTAAAAATTTGACTTTTTATCTTTCTTTTAGTTGCGAAGCCCTTAATAAAACAAGTTACTATCAAAATTAATAATAGACAATGAAAATAAATATTTTTATATATATACATAAACTCAAAATAATATAGTTACAAAACAGATCGGATCATTTGTGATTTAAACATTTGTAGTGCATTTAAAATACATGCCAAAAAAAATTTCAAGATAATAAAAAAATCACCTATTGTTCAAATTGGTCTGATATGATCTTTTCAAAGGTATGTTGTCCTGCAATAGCTTTACTCCTCTGACTTCTTTGAACCTAAGTGTGAAAATACTCACACACTAAGTCTTTGACTTAATGAGGCATAAATGAGTATAATAAAACATTAAAACACTTGCTTAAACATTTCATGAGAAACATTGAAAACGGAAAACAAGATACATTTCACATAAATAACATATATTGTTATGCACTGTTTAATTCATATTAACTTGTTTAAATAGCCCAATGCATATCACTGAGAACTCAAGGTATGTGATTACTTTGAGGTTGTGCACTGTTATTGCATTCGAAACTGCCACGTAGAATTTGCACCAAAGTGCCACGTAGAATATGCACCGAAGTGCCACATAAATTTGTCCCGAAGGACCACGTAGAATCCTCGACTCTTGGCATGTCCAATTATACCTCTAATTCTTATAGCATGTACTTTGGGCTTTAACCATATAAGTATTTCACATAGCATTATTCAAATTATCATTGATTTACATAGAATACATACGCATAGCAAGGAAATCAAAAAAGTTCTTATGAAATACAATTTAAGTAAAACATTATAAAGATATTTCATAAAATAATTCAAATTGTTTTCGATCAAAAACTTCGAGGTTGGCTCATCGCAAGTCATCCTCATATCGAATATAAAATAAGTAAGTATTCACCTTTGCCTTACTTAAGCCCTAAGCAAAAATACTTTTCACTTTCTCTCAATCTCTTTATTACGTCGATTCGTTCGTACTTACTTTCAATTAAAATCTACACATTAACATGACCAAGATAAATATCGGAGCTCGATTATTTGATAATCAATCAGCATTTACATCAACCAAATAAAACACCTATTTCACAATTTCAAGTTGAATAGTATTAATATTGTACACCTAGTACCAATAATTCCCTTCTTTGGTACCAATACCTACCTCAGTATCGATACCCAAATTGCATTATGAAATTTCTTCTTCAATTACAGTATCGATACCTTACTATTGGTATCGATACCTCCAGTATCGATACTATCCCTTCAATACTGATGATGTTCATCCGATTCATATGGTATCGATACTGTTCTTCCAGTACGGATACCCATGCCCAGAATTCACTTATTTCACTTCGAATTTGTCCCAAAATTCACCTAAATCTCATACTTCTAGCTCCATTCATGCCCTCAAATTCAATAACACTTATCACAACCAATTTACATCAATTAAATTCCCTTTTAACATCCAAAATTTCCACTAAAACACTTAAAACTAAAAATCACACCCATTCTTCAAAATGTTTTCAATCTTTCTAATACTTCAAACATCTTATTCAGACATTTGACAAGTCAAATATATCTTTAAAATTCAAATACTAGTCAATTTTCATCAACTCCCTTAAAAACCCTTTTTATCAAATCACCATTAACTCATCAATCATATAGTTTCTAATCATCTTTAATCTTTCTTAAGTTTCTATACCACCAAAAGACTCAAAACCAAATAAAAAATGCAAGAATTCAGAAAACTCTAGGCTTTTCTTTTTCATTTTCCTATAATTCCTCACATGTTTAAATAACATTAAAATGAATTTTAAATTTATTTCTTGCTAAAAAGACCATTTTGCCCTCCCATCCTTCAATCTTTGATAATAAATCCTAAACAAATATTTCCAAGTCAATCCTTGAAGAATTCAATTTATCAAAATTAAACCGCTAAATTTTGAATTCTTACACTTTAGTCACTGACCCGATGTTTGAGATATTACATTATCTCCCTAAATTAGGAAACTCTAATTAAGGAAAGATAATAATCCTAAGAGATATGATCCCTTAAAATAAGAGATTGTAGAAAACTATTTACAGAATCCTTTAACTAAAGGAATGATAACAACTCATATATCTCTATAATTCCTATAGTCTCTGGTGTTATTACCAGCCATGGTGTACCATCCTGCATAATCCATCCTTCTTCAGGAACTTTCTGAGCCTTTGCAACAATCCCATTAACTCGAACTTTAAATTCTTCATATTCTCTCTGCAATAGAAGCAAAGTAAACAGGATGAATATTTGAATTTGGAAAAATATTACAAACAAGGATCAACCAAGCTAACCCTTACCTTCATAGCCCTACGTTCTTTAACAAATGATGTTTAAACTTTATCTTTCAGGTAAACAATTTTCTGCGCAAAATACCATTCCGAAGCCCGAGGCTCGATGTTATACTTCTTGCAGAAAGGTACCCATTTCCTAGCAAACTCTGATGTCTCAGACAATGCTTCAAATGTTAACATAGCAGCACCATCATCAGAAACATAGCAGGAGACCTTGTCAACTGGATAGTCAACTGCAAAAATGGATAGCACAGTGTTCGCGGTCACAAGTGGAGGCTCCTTTAATGGATCAACAGTACTCACAAAAATGTCAACAGCATCTAATTCAGATGGCTCTCCTTCACGATCGTATCTGTTATACAGCTAGGTAATTGAAAAAACAAAGCAAGACTAAAGACAAAGACTGAAACAACACAACTGTGTAAAATATATTTGTGAGGATTTATAAGATTGACAGTAAGAAATTCTGACCTCAAGGCAAGTCTATCGAGATAGGTTTCACGGTTAACAGGAAGCCACTAAGGAAACTGATCCAATATCCATGATATTGCAATCCAAATCTCACATATAACAGATATCAACTAGAGAGCATAGGCATTTGGAACAGGGTTCGTTATTCGATAGTGCAAGAAAATGCACAGAATAACGAGTCAAAGAATGATGACCATCCGATAAGGGTTTATTTTTTATGAGGGAACGGAAACCTTTCTTGATAGAGGCTGCCAAGCTTCATCATTCCTGAAAATTAAGAGTATTGATAATTAAACTTAGGCTAGACAGATTTGAATCAGAGCATAGCTCCCTTAGATATGAAATTTCACAATGGTTGCTAAACCAGGTTCTCCAAATACAGAAAATTATTCTAATTGCAGGATTTAGATACACACCAGGCAAAGGAACAAGTATGATCATGATTCTTAAAATATTTGCACTTGCCATGGGCTAACATGAACAAGAACAACTAATCTCATAAAATTTCTAGATATTAATCAGATGTGAACGTACAGTAAAGAATAGTCCACAAGCACATCGGTGCTGGCATCAATATCTCTAGCACCCCTTTTAGATGCAACCTGGCCTGTACTCGTAGGAACAACATTCTTCTCCTGTTTCATCTTCCAGCCATCAACTCTCTCTTTCCAAGCTACATTGCCCATTCCAGGTGAACCAAACTCCCTCACAGGATCCACAACCCTAATAGTCGCTGCAAGTAACCAGCCATAAGAGCCTATAAAGGAAAAGATAGATTTCATTTTGAGCAATCAATTAATGATAGCCATGTAACAAAGAGGATGTATACATTTTCCACCAACACACCTGGGAGATGCCATAGAAAGACGCTCAGGTGATGCAGCAGATAACTCACCAGAAACCTACAATACGTCAATGGGGAAAGTAAAGTTTCAATCCATCATTTCATTTATGAACAATAACTTTAAGACAGCTTATACACTTACCTCCTGCCCATTGGTGAGAAGGGGAATATGGTTATGAGAAACCTCTTTATCATAATTTGGAGCAATAACATCCTCCCCTCTACCATATGTTACATGCCAGCTCAACATTCTTTCTGAAATTTTCTGCTTCTGACATTGGTTTTTGTTTTCTGAGTAAATGAAATCACTAGCACCATCATCCGCATCACCATCCTCCTCTCTGTCTCCAATGATAGCAGGACTGCCTGGAACCATAAAAACAATGAAAAAGCCAGTGATGAATATAATGGAAAACTTTAGTGAAAGGTTATAGAGTACCATAATGAGAAAATCTGTTCGATTCCTGATGTTATAAGAACCTCGTACAAAAAAAAATCTCACAAATGAAATACTATACACATATATATAGAAGTTCTGGAAACAAAATTGGGATGCAAAATAAAACAGAAAATAGCAAGAGTTGAGCACTCCACTGCTAAAATTCAGAGCAAAATCCTCCCGGTGAATAAAATTTCAAAAGGGTTGAAACAAACCCGTTAATAACTCGTGAAAAACATCATCACCGTTTTCAGGTTGAAAACATAAATGACTTGAAAGGGAAATCGAACTCGAAAACGAAACAATGGCTTCGATCTCATGGAAATGAGAGCAAATCCACATCAGACCTTGCCAGAAAGCAACGAGAGAAAGAGAAATCTGAGAGCGAAAACCGATCTACAATACGAATCTTGAAAATGAAGAATCAACGTAGGAGAACAGAGAACAGGAATGCAAAGCAGCAGCTAAGTCCATTAATCTCTCTGTGTGTACAAATAAAACAATAACAATGAATAATAAACGAAGAATTAAAGGTGGGTTTTAATTTATTCTCTAACTAATTATAATAGCTGTAAGCAGAGAAATTTATGTGTCCCTTACGTGAGACAAGAGCGACAGAGAAACTACGATGCCAGTTACTTCAGCACTCCACCGACAGCGGTTAAGGGTTAAAACACGAAGGTTAATTTTAAGATTTGGACAGAAATTCCCGAACCTAAACTCACATATATTTATACCCTATGACCCAATCATTGTTTTCCTTATTTTATATTTAAAAATTAGGATAAGCAACACTCCTATGTTTTTTGCCTGTTTGATTTCTATTACGCGTTTAAGCTTTCTATTACGTCGACTTAATATATATATATAAAGTTTAACCTTGTAATTATATCAAACTCGAATCTAACTTGAATTAGATTCAAATCAGACCATGACAGAATATATATTCGATCCATCTCTTATTAGGACTCGTATTTTTCTGAATTCAGATTTAATTTTTTCAATGGACAACTGCCCATGACCACCCCATTTATCTGTCCCTACTTTTTCGATTTTCAAGGGCTGGACTTCTCCGTCAACATCTGAAGGCTGCGGTGGGCCGTGCTTCAGTCTGGTCCTCTCAAGCTTGCTCTAATTCAATGGGTCCCCCCTCCAAATAGGACACCCGTAGTAACTATTTGGCCTAAAGAGTACTTCAAAAATTAATTTAGGATATACGATGTTTTTTATAGTCTAAAGTAAACTCGTCACATTGAAATATTAAGTTTTATGAGATATAATTTTTATACTCTAAGCTTAATATTTTAATATTTCCTGCAAAACTCGTCACCTGGTGACGAGTTCTATTAAAAAATTATTTTTTAGATTATTATGCGAATTTAATGTTGAAAAGAAAAATACACAGAAAATCGTCACGTCGAGACGACGAGTTCTGTTAGATATTTTTTCTCTCCAAAATATGGTAGATTATGTTGAAAAGAACAATAAACTATGAACATTATATTAGACTTTCAGAATTGCACATTAGGAAGAAAAAAACTACTAACTTAATACATTAACATAAGGACGTAAACATGATCATTCAATCAATAAAGTATATTCTTGATCAACATAAGGATTATCAGCCTACTCGATATCTTGGGAGATCTTGACAGCGTAAATGTGAATGCCACAATAAGAAGCACTATCCAGATCTCCCAAGATATCGAGCATGCCGATAATCCTTATGTTGATCAAGAATAGACTTTATTGATTGAAAAAATCTTATTTACGTCCTTATGTTAATGTATTAAAACAAAAGGTTAAACAAGTTCTTTTCATTATGAACTTCTTATTCCTCTTCAGATAAGTTCTTCTAATTACGAACTTTTCCTTCCTCTTCAGATAAGTTCTTCTTATTACGAACTTTCTCTGGAAAAGTTGATCCATCGAGTAATGAATTCAAACAAAAGGTTAAACAAGTTCTTTTCATTATGAACTTCGTCTTCCTCTTCAGATAAGTTCTTCTCATTACGAACTTTCTCTGGAAAAGTTGATTCATCACTAGATGAATTTGAACAAAAGGTTGAACAAGTTCTTCTCATTATGAACTTCTTCTTCCTTCTTCAGATGAGTTCTTCTCATTACGAACTTTCTCTGGAAAAGTTGGTGTTGATCTATCTCCTTCTGTGATAGAGTCATGCAAAAGGTTGAACAAGCTCTTCTCATTATGAACTTCTTCTTCCTCTTCAGATAAGTTCTTCTCATTACGAACTTTCTCTAGAAAAGTTGATTCATCTAGTGATGAATTTGAACAAAAGGTTGAACAAGTTCTTCTCATTATGAACTTCTTCTTCCTTCTTCAGATGAGTTCTTCTCATTGCGAACTTTCTCTGAAAAAGTTGATCCATTGAGTAATGGACTCAAATCTTTGCTACAATCTTTGAAATTTTTGTCAAATATTTAACATGGATAAAATGAATGAAAATGCCCCTATTTTGCAAATGTCTAAATATGATGCATGAATGTTAAGTTCATCTTTATTTGATTTCAAAGTGGTGAACTCGGTCTTTCTTCAATTGTGTAGAAATCCAATAAATCTTTCTTTTTTAAATAGAGAATCTATCATCTTTGGAGAGTGTAGATGTAGATATGCCTGAATTTTTTTTATGATGTCACAAAACCACTTGAGAACAAAACGCAATGGTATAGGCTCTTGAAAAGTTTGCACTCATGCAACATGTTGATTCTGATAACTATCATCTGATTGTGAAGAGATCTTTCAGGATGATTTCACAGATATTGATAGTTCTTCTGATACTGAGGAAATCCTGAATTCTGATTCTGATGAGAATAAACTGTTATACTTGATGAAAATGGGATACTCAGAGACTGAGGCTTCAATAGCCATAGAGAGATGTGGTTCGGATTCATCAATTGCAGAGATGACAGATTTTATATGTGCTGCTCAAATGGCTAAGACTGCTGACGCACTTCTTCCGATAGAAGATAGGAAGCTATTATGCAATAACCCCAATTACAAAAAAAAGGCGAAACTCGGGTTATGATTTGTTGAAAAGGAAAAATCAAAGGAAGCTTGAAAAGAAGCTTCTTAATGAAGACGATCATGTTCATCTTTCAAATCCAATAATTGGTTTTGGGATTCCTACCGAACCAGATCTGATAACTCAAAGAACACTTCCAGAAGATGCTATTGGGCCTCCTTATTTCTACTACGAGAACGTGGCACTTGCTCAGTTGGTGTTTGGACTGAAATGTCACGGTACTTATATGATGTAGAGCTAGAATTTGTAAATTCGAAGTATTTTTGTGCTACTGCACGGAAAAGGGGCTATATTCATAATCTGTCAATTGAGAACAGATTTCCTCTTATTCCACTTCCAAATGACTCTATGATGGTAATAATTTGTTTGTTTTTCAACAGTGATTGCAAACGTTGATAAGACTTACTTTGGATTCCATGTACTTAAAAGTATTAACATAAAGTGATAACCAAAAATATTGTTTGTTTCAAGATTATGTTAATCCATTTACAGATGTTTATGTGAAAATAAATAAATTGAATTTCGAACAAAAGAAATTGAATTTCAAAAAGATAATCTTGGAATAAAAAATATATTCAAATGTATTCAAAGTCATGGCAAGAATAGGAATGATAAAAATTCAAATGACTCAACAAATTATTAGCATAAGTATTTCTAACTAATCAACTTGATATAATCTAGAGCACTGAGGTAAGCTTATGTCTGGAAGATCTCAAACATTGCCAAAATACTTGTAGATGTAAAGTTCCTCCCAAAATATCAAGCTCTTAAGAGGATTTAATTGCCAGATGCCTAATATCAATATGCATTTGAGCAGGTTTTTTAGGTTTTCAACTCAAATCCTTCCTTTAGGTTTCAAGATGCCCTTTTCGGGTTTTTATCTTGACCCTCTTTTTTTACATATATTTTTTATCATTTTCATTTTTTTTCTTTTCTTTTCATTTTTTTCTTTCTTCAAGCATAATATTTCTTGACAAAATCTGAGTTTATTGGGTTTCTTAGAACTTTTCCATCCATTTCTGCCAAAATCAACGCTCATTCGGAAAAGGCCTTTTTTACAATAAATGGCCCTTCCCAATTAGGCATCCATTTCCCACGAAATCGTTATGTATAGGTAAGATCTTTTTTAGCAATATATCACCCTCTTGAAATTCTCTTGGATGCACTCTCTTGTCATGAGACTTCATCATCCGTTTCTGATACATCTGTCCATGGCAAATAGCTTTCAATCTCTTCTCCTCAATAAGGTTCAATTGATCAAACGAGCTTGGATCCATTCAGACTCATCCAATTTTACCTCTCTCAAAATTCGAAGTGATGGGATCTCAACTTCAATTGGTAAGACTGCTTCCATCCCATAGACTAAAGAAAAAGGTGTTTCCCTAGTAGATGTTCGCACAGTAGTTCGGTATGCATATAAAGCAAAAGGTAACTTCTCGTGCCAATCTTTATAAGTTTCAGTAGTATTCGTAATGATTCTCTTGATGTTTTATTTGCTGCTTCAACTGCCCCATTCATCTTTAGACGATACGCCACTGAGTTTGCATGCTTGATTTTAAACTGTGCACAAAGTTCAGTCATCATTTTGTTGTTCAAGTTCAGAGCATTATCTGTGATGATTCTCTCTGGTAGCCCATACGGCAGATTATTTCTTTCTTTATAAATTTGCAAACTGTAGACCTCTTAATATTGACATATGAAGAGCTTCAACCCATTTGGTAAAATAGTCAATTGCCACTAGGATGAAACAATGTCCATTTGATGCTTTTGGTGTGATTACCCCAATGACGTCTATTCCCCACATAGAAAATAGCCAAAGTGCAATCATTACATGTAAAGGCGATGGAGGTGCATGAATCTTATCTGCATATACCTGGCATTTATGACATCTTCTTACAAAATCAATGCAATCTGTATGCATGGTAACCCAATAATATACATATCTCATTATTTTTCTAA